GGGGGCCGTCCCGTGTTGTCTTGTGCCTGGAGATGGAAAGTCTTTGGTCGCCTTCCCTTTTCTGCCAACGGTTTGCCGATGCATTTCTAAGAAGTCATAGCTTGGGAAGTTTACTTCCCTCTTTAATGGTGAGCTTGCCAGGGACATCAGAAGCTATTTCCAAGGTCAGTAGAACTATTTCCTAAAAGCTTAGAACTATTTCTAGAAGCACTGGAACTATTTCTAAAAACATAGAAAACTATTTGCAAAACCATCAAGATGTTGCAGAAACTATTTCTAAACCTAACCAAATATCACAAGAACTATGTCTAAACCTAACCAAATATCAGAAGAACTATTTCTAAACCTAACCAAATATCACAAGAACTATTTCTAAAAGCATCATAAAATCAAAGGAAATATTTGAAATACATGATTACACCAAGACATTGTTGTCAAACATGTCGACAAGAGTTGTCATTGCTGATCCTCTATGAACAACAGTCCAGATACATAGTGTGCCTCAGGAAACCTAAAGTGAGAGAGACAGATAGATAGAGAGAGAGAGACAGATAAGTGAGAGAGAGAAAGAGATAAGTGAGAGAGACAGAGAGAGAAAGAGAGTATATTTTAATTTAGCTAATTGTTATGCACTTTGGCTTTGGCATTGTAAGATAATTCATTCGATGATATGATGTGATGATTCATTGAGATTATGTTCCACCATGTTCCACCTGTTCAGTCCCTGTCTTTGCCTTTTCATTCCCGAACAAACTCCTTGGGAATGGTGTCCTCAGACCCCTGGGCTGGATAAACCTTTCGCAACTTCACCTCACCTCACCTGTTCCAAATCACAATTGTTGGTGGGTGTGACTTAGAAGGGTTATTGACTGAGCCACAATATTGGTCCAGTGTTGATTGTGATTTGGAACACCTAACGACTGCTGCTTTGATCAAGTGCACTTTCTTCCACGCGCGTTCCTGAGGAGTGGGCCATAAACCCTTCTCGTTTGAGCCCTGTGATTGATCAAGTAATCAAACACTCTCTGATCAGGTCCGGTCAGGCCCTGTCAAAATGCCTGAACTGCACACACTCAAACAACAGGTTAAATTGTAGCTAGTGTCCAGAAATATAAGCAAAATCAAAACAATGGACAATGGCAATGCATGCTGAATCACTGCTCTACAAATCTTTGTTTAACACCAAACCAAAGCCAACATTTCGGTTTTGTTGTGTGCAGTTGCATAACCCCTAGACAGACACCCCATGTGCAGCAGGCTACTAGGACCTCACACTCAAACATAAAACATAAATCAACTCATTGAATCTTGACTGGGCTCTTTAATTTTTGATAACGACTAGCAGGTAGCAGTTGTCCAGTCTCTAAGTCGGTGTGTGAGTTTGTCAGCCACCTAAAAAGGAAGGGAACTGAGCAGAGCTAACCCAGAACCTGCCACACAAATTGTTTGTCAGATTGGCCACTAAGATCAGAGATCTGAGATCAACTAGGATCCTATTGATCCTTGTCACTTGTCTATTGAAAAAAACTTGGCCGCCTCACCCGCTCTTGCGCTTGCGGTCACGCTGGTCTTTCTGCTTGCGCTTCTTGCTGGTATTGTTCCCGTCCTCATCTTCCTCATTTGCAGCTGCTGGTGGTTGCTTTCCACGCTTCTTGGCAGCTGCCTTAGCCCTGCTTTTCGGTGCAGCGGTCTCTGGAGACTTGATCGCTTCAAGCCGAGTTTGCAAAGGTTGAGGGAGGTCTTGCTTGGACAAACCCATTCCAGAGACAAACTGCATGATCTTTGCCACTGCCCCTTTCTCCACAGATTCCCCAAGTTCTACTTGGCTCACAAGCTCAGTAGCTGCCAGGATAGCAAGAATCTTGGCACTAGAAGCTCGGAAGTCCTGACAGTACAAAAGAACGTTTGATAAGGCACCAACATACTGCAGCTCCTAGTCTTCTTTGAGCGCAGGCACAAACAGTTACAGGAGGGCAGGGTGTCTATGCACTTTGTTGAAACATTAATTCAATTCTGTTATTCTGTTGTTTCTCTGCCTTTTCACCTTGCCGTTCCTCAGCCAAGGTCTACGGTCTAGAGTCTCGCTGTAAAAATAAATGCTAGTACGAAGGATACCTCAACTGATTGTGTACTCTACAGAGTTTCTCTTCTAAGTGTTCACTGCAATCAGGGGATATATGATATGAGTGTCATCTGTCAGTGTAAGGTTAAGTTATGTTACAGCTCAGCGCAGCTAAGGCCTCTTAAGCTAAGTGCTTTACGTCCAGTGATGCCACCCCTGGTTTCTGATGTCTTTGATAACACTACTTACTGCCCCAACTACACCAACGAGAATACACACCCGGTCACACGACTCTTGTCATGTGTTGACAACAGCGACAATCTCGACAATCCCCCCAAACTCCTCCACAGCCTTCTGCATAACTGGAAAATCATCAATGCAGAATGCTATGGTGTTGCCCAGGCTCCCCTTCCAAGCGTGCACGGCCTTCAAAAAAGGCACTTGCTGGCCAAGCACATCTCTGGAGAAATTCAATCTTTTCCTCATTCTCTTTGGCAACAGAATCAGAAGGATTCAAGAGCCACTGAACCGAGCTCAAGTCCGAGTTCTCCACCGCTGGAAAGATCTGCCTGACAACAAATGCATGCAACAACTACAGACATGTGACATGTGAAAGCTTCTTGAAACTCTTGATCCAGCACTTCCAAAAAGTCAAAAAAAAACAGTGTCACTGTGTGCTAGCACGAAAACGAAAGCAGTGGTTGTGTCCTGGTTTGGTCAAGAGGATGCCATCATTCCTTTAGATTTCAAATCAAATGCACACTGTTTGACTGCTTGGGTTTGGGTTAACAACAGAATTATAATTTGCCTTCGTCTTCACTGAAATACAGTGACTCGACTCGACTGTGACAAAGCACATTCAGATGAATGAGAAGCCAAACCAAGAGAGCTGAAAAGCCGAAAGTATTCAAATATTGAAAAATCACAAGTAGTGACAGTAGTGAACGAGGAATGATCAATGGACCATAGATTCCATCGCTTCACGCTTTTGGTCCTGCCTCATTGGCTCCAAAGCAGTGTTCGAGGTTTGGAGGTCATCCTTGACATTGCTGGCAAACAGGTTGATCGCTTTCTCGTAATCCTTCGCAAAGGCCATGGCCAGCTCATGCTTCTCTGGAAGGTCTCGCTGCAGGGTCTCCAAATCCAAGCCCTTCACCTTGACAAAGGTAGATAGCCAAGGCTGCAGGTTTTGGGCAACCGGTTCGTCCATCGCCTTCTTGTCAAGAGTGAGCTGCTCTGAAGACCAGCTGCTGCAAAGTTTCAAAGTCTGGAGAAAGCGGCCCACAGTTGGAGGCACTGGTTCAGGCAACTGGTCATTGAGATCCTCCAAAGCTTTGGTCATACCATCCTTCTTGGCAGCTTCAGAGAAGGTGGTTTGTGCCCTCACGAGCATGAACTTCTCCAGCCTGTTCACAGCTTCCCTGTCGCAGCTTGACCTGCGGCCAAGTGAGTTGCTGGGCCACGAGAGTCCCTGTTTACACTTCAGGTGACTTCACCCCATCATGACAATAGTCTCGTAGAGTTTGTTGAACGTGTCATCCTGCTTGTCACTGTGCAGGAAACAAATGACGCGGATCCACTTTTAGTGTTCACAAATGTTCACAATCGACTAGTTGACAGGCTTTTGGCGTAATGCTCCCTCTAGAGGCTTAGCACATCTCAGAACAGCGCCATGCTGGCACCAATCCAAGGCGAAGGCAGTGGTGGAGTTCCGCGGTTGGTATTTGAGATGGTTCTCAATGGAGATGCGTAATGACCCAGATATCGTGCTGGCTGCTGTGATGGAGAATGGCAGGACAATGGAGTTTGCCTCCAACGCCCTACTTAATGATCGGAGTTTTGTCCTGCGAGCCGTGCAGTCGACAAAAGCCACATGGCTCTTGAACTATTGCAGCCGAGAGCTGCAGGACGACAAAGAATTCCAGGAGTTGGTCGAGCAAGCTGCTGGGACTGGGCTTGTGTTTACATGCTATCACAGCTTCAGCTGCTTCGACTCCGTAAGGAATCGCTTCGTGGCCACAGGTGCATCAGTCCCAGGAGGCACCGCATATGATCATGTGATGACGCAGTTGAATAAGACCTCTGGAGGTGCCTGGGCGATCATTAGTTGTTCATAGTCATAGTTATTCTTTTTACGCGTCGCAACCCAAAGCGGTTGCAGTACAAAGAAGGCAGTAAGCAGACACATTTGCGCCAAATGCATGTTAATTCAATATAAGGAGCTGATGCCCATACCGCAGAACCACACATGTCACCAATCAAAGAAGTGGATGTCATGTTTCAACTTCTCCAAAAAAAGTGTCCTTGAAGGTGATTTATGAAATGGATTGAAAGCTAAACAGATGATAAAGGGGCGGAAAGGGGTGTTTCGCCGGAACTTGACAATGCTGAAATGCTGCGGCTGGATGTGACTTTTAAGTTTGTGTTCCTTGAAAAAGGCAATATAGCTTTTGCTGGTCCAGAAGCTGCCCCCTTTGGCATCGAATGGTGTTGGATTCATTGCTTGTTTGTAAGGAACAGCGACAGTCTGGTTCGACGAGATCCCAGTCTTCGGCTTTTCTGCCAACAAGGGCGAGTGGGTTCACCCCAGCGAGGATTGTGGCCGTGACTATGTACCAGTTCCCCTTCAAGAGAATCGACATGAAATGTGGAACTCCATGGTGGAGTCCCGCAATACAAGGCTGTGGCCACCTGTTGGATCGAAGCACCCTTGCCACTTGGGCCTTTGCCGCGGAAAGAAGGTTTCTGTAGCATGCGCTCCTCAACCTTGTGACTGTTCATCCCACTTGAAGTCTTTCTTTCCTTTGCGTTCAATGTTGATTCAGAGACCAGCTGTGCTGATGTCATATTTGCCAAGGCTGGTGCTGCCACTGGCTGAGAAAAGTCAAACAGAAGCATGCAGAGGGTGCAGTCATTTGCATCGCCGTGTCCAATATATATAATAAGGACGCTTGGGTTTTCTCTTGGAGAGTTGACGCTGATTCGTGATGACTTCCACGGCACGGCTTTCAAGCATGTCTACGATAGTAGCACGTTCGTCTCAAGAGGACTTAAAGAAACAACAACTCAACTTGAATGGAGGTCTAGCGTCCCCAAAGAGAAATAATCTTATACACCAAGGACTGGGTGGACAAGTACGGGGCAGGAAGCTCAGAGCTGAGCGACGAGGCTGCAGACAAGTTTGGACTCAAGAGGAGCCTTAGCTGTATTAAACTCACAAATCGAAGCCACAAGAATGAAACTGCTCTTAAACATATATATATACATAGTTTTGATTGTTCTATCGGATTTTCCATCCGCCGCTGCTGCGCTGGTCCTGTTCTTGGATCGGCCTTTGTAGCCATGCCCAAACCCTTGGACCCTCGTGTCGAAGACAGGAGTGGTTTGGTAGGCGATTGACATGGCAGAGTAGTGAAGCAAAGGTCCAAGCTTGGGATTTCAGGGACCCACGAAAGCTACATACTCAGTCAAAAGCAGCCCACGCCCTAAGCAGTCACGATTTGCCTCATGAAGGGCACTCACAGGAGGTGTGGACGTCAAAGCACAGGCTCACCCAATCAACACCAGAAAGATCCAGACAGGGCAATGTCATGCAAACCACATGCAGGAGCAGCAATAAATTCAGATTGTCATGGGTGTGGCTTGCTTGCCCTCCCTCCCTCCCCTCCCCCGCCCACGCTCGCTCTCGCTCTCGCTCTCGCTCTCGCTCGTGCGCTCTCTCTCTCTCTCTCTCTCTCGCTCCAGATGTCGATCACCTCCATGCATTGGCGACGTTGGAGGGCTTGACAGCCTCATTCGAGCTGCATACAGCCTTCATCATCATCGTTCTAGGATCTTCCGCTCGTGTTGCCCATGTTTTGCAATGCGGCAATGTGCCTTAACAGTACCATGCGCAACGATGTCATCGGCCTTAGCCATATCCATCCTCTCAGCGATGACAAGCGGTCCTCACTAGTCACTAAGAGGGAGCTTTGTTCTTCCAGTTGGGGGATCTTCAGTCTAATATTCTTGATGAATTTGTTTGGCAGTCTATACTCTTTCTAAAGCCACCTCGAAGTTGTGCTTCCTCACACCAAGTTTGTGGAAGCGTCGTCCATTTGCTGCAAGTCTAAGACTCAACACTGCCGCTGCTTGAGTATTTGATGCCACCCTAGTAGAAAATCCCTCCCTGTACTGTCAAAGGCAATGTCGCGTTTATTGGAGAAAGGCCGACCTGGACCTTGCAAAGCTCCGTAAAGGCAGGCAGGCGACCTCGGCGCTGCACTTTCCCTTTTTCATGGCAAGAGGCTTGAGCCTGAACCTGACCTCACCAGCTCAGGAACACGCAGATGTCTCCAAACTCCACATAAAGCCCTAGCTCCAAGCCCACAGTTGGGATGCAGATGTTTGAGCCAACTCAGGATGTCTTCAGTGCAAAAATGTGAACTGGCATGTGGCGTTCAATGATCAGTCAACGCAAATTCCAAGTTCCATGTGTTTTGCAGCTGCTGCGAAAGCCAGACAGTTTTGATGACATGTGTGAAAGTATGATACGCGCATGTTATTGTGTATACCGTATACGTTGCACTATACATATTTCCAAACATAACAACTGCTGATAAGTAAGCTAGTATTAGGTGTGGTAACTGGCCAGTACAGGTACCAGTGGACCAGTCTTCCCGTCTTCAGATGTGTTTCTTGCTCTAGTTGCCCAAGTTTCTCCGAGGGAACAGTTCCGCAATGGCCGCCCTGCTGGTTGGGGCACAGGCAAGATCCAGATTTCCAATGGCATGACCTTTTCCCGCGTGGCGCCAGTCCACCCTCACACCGGGCTCCCCCTGGGTGAGGGATGTCGCTGGGAGCGCCAAGCGCTCGATCGCCAGAACTTTGCAGTCTATGCGTATTTTGTTCCCTGATGTCCCGGTATTTTGAGGCAACAAACCTTGGGATGTTCATGTGAGGAATTTGATCTACTTGACATATGATGTATATGATGTGTAATCATTGTTTGACCATTGAAAACGTTGGGATTGTCACTGGGGACGTTTCACCTCAATTTTAAAGGCTTTTGGTCCAAAAGCATCCTAAAAGGCATTCCAATTATATTCATGTTCGATAGAGAAGCGTCGAAGACTCGCCAAGCTTAGTCCATGACATCTTAAGCGGACAATGAATAAAGCTGCGGCCTGATCCGAGGATGTGGTGTTTTATCTTCGAACCTCAAGAATATTCCAAAAAGCATCAGAATACAACAAACACAATGATCCTCAAGAAAGCGCTTTATTTACCCAACACAGTTTCCAGTGTTGGTATTAGTAACTAAAAAGTCAATGAAACAAGGTAACAAGAGCATGCAGTTCACTGTTTGTGGCTGGAGGTATTGTGACTGCAAGGTCCTCCATCCACCTGAAAATGGTCACTTGGCAGTCAAAACCGGTCACTTGGCAGTCAAAACGTAGTTTCCGCTATGATTTCCATCTTTTCTGCAGTTCACCTTCCGATCGGTGCTTCGCAAGGAGGAAGTGAGCCTGTCTTCGGTCGGCAGAGCAATCGGCGGGCTTTTGATCGCCAACCACGCCGAGTTGAAAATGGCCCCACGTAGCTCCAACGGAGTTGTCAATGAACGATCCAAACTCCGAAGTGTAGTGGCTGATTGGGCCCAGTTTTGAAGCACTTGGATGGTTGGTGTTAAGGATTGTTAAGGTGTAGTGCGTTTTTGGTCTAACCTGCTCCGGATTCGGCAGTTTTCCTGATCTGTGCTTCACTCAAGAGAGCGAGACGTGTTCAACGGGTCCGAACGTGTTGAATGTCTGGCCATGTGGTTCGTCGAAGGCGGTGAGGGAACAAAGATTTCCCAAACGTCAACAGTTCAGAAACGCAGTTCTGTTTGAGAAACCCGCTCTTGCTAATAGATTCCCTGCAGTTTCTATGGTTGTTAGTACAGACTCCTGATGATATCAAACATCAGACACTTGAGACCCTTTTGCCATCAGTTTATCTCTGACCGGCTACGAGTTCGCGGCATACCTACACAGCATGGGCCTCCACGTGGCTGACACTGGAAGTGCCTGCAAGTCCAAGAGTCATCAGCAAGTCGCTCACGCGCCTCAACCAAAGCAAAACCGTTAGGACAGAGCCCATCTATAGTTAAAGGTCCAACACGTCACTTTCATGCGCACACTTTGGGCCTTCCACTAGAAGCAATTTGATCTCAGGGCTTTTTCATGTCCCTTCCGCCATGGAGACGGCGGCAGATGGGCCAGCTAGCTTAGTTGTTCTCCATGTCAGAAAGGCTTTGTAACTATTGCTCGTAAGAGTTTCTTTCATGCACTGAGTAGGCATGGAGAACGGATAGTCCCCGTGTGTGCTCGAATGTCCATGCTATTTGTGAGAACCCCCACTTACTTACTTCGTTTGCACCCACTATCTGTCACACCCCTCTCAGCTGAGGTGTCTTCATATGATGCGAGGCCAAAGGTGGATACTGGGACCAAGCGGGGCGGTTGCCTCAAGGGAGATCATCGGGTCCAAGCCAGAAGATTCATGAGATGCCTATGGCCCCTCAAAGCTCTACAAGAAGAAGCGCACCCGAGCACCCTTTTGGCTTCACTTGGTGAAAATATGATGAGTCACCCGAGCATCCTTGTTGAGTCTTTGTTTATTACCACGTTTCAATATGATGGCGCCTTCTAACTTCCAAGGTGGATGAAAAATATCTCCCAAAAAGGAAAGTCAATGCTCCAATGTGCTTGGAGAAAATCACGACAGCCTGTGAGGTTACAGAGGTATGGTGGAGCAACAGGGTACACCACAAACCCACTGGTGAAAGGATGAATCATCGAAAACATGTGGGTTTGTGGGTCAAATTTTGCTGACACCTTGCCACTCAGGATTCATTTCTGATTGCAAGTGGTTTTAATAATGAACTGCAAACGTTGTTGTTTTCCATGTTCACTTTGTTCCACTTTTTAGGCTCTCCCGCTCCTTCAACATGATATGAAACATATCTTTTTCAAGGTTTTTGGCACAAAATCCCCATATTCGCTCGAGTGTTGCCACAAAGTGCTGAGGACTCTAACCTCCGGACTCCAGACGACCCTCGACTTGGGTCAGCAGACAACTCAGCTGAAACATGAGGAGGACAGCGAGTGCAGATCATTTGAATCCATTTGTCCAGAAGTGCAGATGGAACCACCAATCCTGTGTGCCATAAGTGTGGTGAGCAAGTCATCCAAGCAGACAATGTGGTTATCGTGGCAAGACGCGACGAGCAGCCTCTTGCCTGGGAGCGAAGGTCCTTGTCGTCCCCCACGTCCAAGCTGACGGCTCGGACGGCTCGGACGGCTCGGGAGCCTTGCCGTCTGGGAGACCAAAGATCTCCTCGGTCGCTCTCGAGCTCCAGCTCGTGGCTGCCTTGGCCCTGGCCTTGGCCGTGGCAAGCAAACTGGACGAGAAAGCATGGGTTGATCGAATTTGTTTGTAGTAAGACTTCAAGAATAGTGAAAGCTTCTTGGAGTAGCTTCCCTACAGCCACAGAAAACGAGATGGCAGGTATGGTTTCACTGCACTTTAAGTCTCCACATTCTCCACAGCTCTCGGATCTTCCCATCCTAGGGGAGTGGAGCTGGGGCCACGACTCACACCTCCAACCGCTTGGACGTCCAACGCCGGGAGCCACAGGGTCATCAAGGATTGTTCCCTTGACGAAAGGATCTACAGTTGAATAAAGGAGTCTTAAACTAAATTAAGAAATGTGCTCCAATTGGTCAGAATGATATGTTTCAAGCGCTGAAAATCAGAAAATATCAGATACATGTGCGAAAATGTAATTTAGACCCCCACGTGCTGAAGCTGGAAGTTGCGGGGAAGACCACCTAAGCTAGCTCACGTGTTCATTCTTTTGCTGAGGTCAGATTCCTGGAGAGTTCCCCAGGTTTGCCAAGTCGTTTGGGAGATCCTTGGCTCATGACTTGGCACCGCAAAACCGTCGGTCAACCGCTTTAAACCTAGGCGGCACAGGATTTGCCAAAACAGCACACAGACGGGGAAAACATGAGAAGTCGTTTTTTACAAGTGAAGCTTGGACCAAATTGTCACGATCAAATCTTTGAAGTGCGTTGGCCTGTTGGCATGGCCCAAAAATGTCCAAGGTTGAAGACTATCAGATCCCTCCAACCATACAGGCATGGCTTGTGCGCGGTGCGTGTTGGATCCTGCAATTTTTTGGGGGGCTTTGGGAGCAGATCACCAGCGCCCTGTGCTTGTATCTACTCCACCTTCTGCAAACATGACTCAAGAAAGCAAAAAAAAGAAAATGCATCGTTGTTCGGCTTCAGCGTCAGCTATTGGTCATTGCCATGTGTCCCAAAACGTCATGTGTTGCGGTAGATGGGTCACATATTGCAGTCAGGAGCGCTTGGCCACGTTGAAGGCTGAAGAAAAGTCTTTGGAGGCTGGTAGGGCCAAGATCGCCAGTTTGATTGCTTTCCGAATGAGATTTGCTCAGGACCGACAGCGTCGCTTGCGATTTTGCGTTTGGGTGCAGGAGCAATTGGAAGCCGTGTCCGTGACCCATGCCAATTTGCAGCAGGCGTTGCAAAAGGCGCGACAATAGCAAGTTGCTAGGTGTGTTCATTTGAGGAGGCCATTTCATGAATGACCATGTTGACCAACAACTCTTTTGGCACCCCTCATCAAATCCTTGCGCTGGCGAGAACTAATCAGGCAATCCCGAAGCCTTAGAGAAGTATGTTGGCCACATGTCATGCCAATGTTGTGGTGGTACGTCCTGGATTGCGGCACTCGCGGCTAGGCAGATCAGAAAGACACGCTGTGGCAGGCTCGGAATCGAAGGATTGGCAAGTGTTGGGGTTCAAGAGGCTTCGGTGGGCTAAACTTCTGCAACATGTCCACGACTCCACTGCGACTCACTGATTTGGAGTCTGGAAGAGGTTTCTCGATGAGCTTCACCACTGAGGAAGTCGGGTTTTGTCATTCCTTTCTCCAAGGCACGAAGCCGTGAACCGCAGAGCCAAGTGAAAGCTGCCATAGAGGCCTTGAGTGCGAAAGATTTGCCAAACATCTCAGGCCCAAACCAGAGGCACAGATCAACATGGTGTTTTTGCCCAATGACGGTTGCCATTGAGGCAGAGTTGCTCAGTACGTTGCCAATCTGCAATGTTGTGGCAGTATTTGTTTGAAAGCATGGCTGTGTTGGTAAATTGGGTGGTGAACTGAGTCATTGTAGGAACTTCCCGCATATCCCGCCTCTGCCTTGCAGGCAAGACAGCAGCTGTTCGAGAATGACCTGAATGAAGCAATGCGGAAGGCCGTCTGACTCGTTTGGCATTGCTGTGCATGCAATATCATGGTAATAATGCCCTCAAAAAGGGTTCTTTGCTTGTTCGCCAAGCAGCTAAGGCAGAAACCAAATTGGTGGGGTTTCACTTGTTTGAGACTTTGCGACTTGAAAGTTGGTGAATGGTGACCGGCTGCTTTTTTGCAAAGAAAGGGGGTGGAAACTCCTGACATAGCGCTTCGTTGTGCATGACGGGACTGGGGTTGAGGCCGTTGAGGATCATTGCAAACCTTGGATCAAGCCGAAGGTTTCAAGAAATGCTGGAACCCTTCTTTCAATTGCACAAGGCTATTCTTCGGGTCACCTTTTCTTAGGGTGCAGCATTGCATGAAAGCGGACCGTTTCTATACATTGTGTCTACACTGTGTGGCCTCGAACTCGGATTACAAAGCGGGTTCCATGTTTCCTAGAACCGAACCGTTTCAGTGCTTTTGAAAAAGACATGTTCATTCCCTTAGTTATATAATGTTATACAAATGCTTTCTCGCATCATGTCCAGGCAGAAGAAGACAAGGCGACGTTGACCTCGTCTTTGCAGGCAATTGCTTTTTGTCGGTGAACTGTTTTTGTCCACAATGCATGTCAGCCGAAGACTGAAATAAAGACACGATACTACTTACTGCTTGGGATAAAAAGTCAGCTGCAATTGCAAGCAAGTTGGTCGTTAATGTGGGCAGGAGCAACTGGATTCCCTCACGGCGCGCAACGAGTATTTGCAGCAGCAGTTGCATGAGGCCGGAATAAGCAACGATTCCCTCGCTGCGCAGTGGACCAGCGTCCACTTGCAAAGTGGCAGAGATGTTTTTGACCTGTGTATGTGTGCGTCGCAGGCCAAAGAGCACGAGCAGGCAACGGAGGCTGGGCTAGGCTGCTGGCAATGTTTCAACCCTGCTGGGCAGACCCAGAGGGACATGATTGAGGCTGAAAATGAGATGCTGAGAAAGGAGCTGAAGAAAGCACAGCAGGAGGCCGTGGCACTTCTATCACTGTGAGAATGTTTTGTTTTTGCCGGTGCTGCCTGCGAAGGCTAAAGAGAAGGCTGCATTAGCTTCGGCCTTGCAGGCAGCTTCAATTGGACTTTGGTCATGTGATGTCATGTGTCAGAAAACAGCATTCACGCAACATGAGAGAGCACGCGCCTTGACCGAGGAGACGTTCGTTGCTGAACGAAAGGAGGTGCGCTGGGCCAAGCTCTGCTCATTGTATTCGTATTTTGGGGCAGGAACGGATCTTTCTCATCCAAGACTGAGTTCTTGCAGCTTGGACGTGTGGTTTTCGGTGTTCCTTTTTTGAACATGCATTCATTTGGCTTGGTCTGAATGAAAGGATCCATGGACCTGATTCCCAATCGTGACTTCGTTCGCTGGTCGAAAGCGGATGCGTCGGTTTCTAGGGGCAATGACTCGTTTGCCCGTGCAGCTCCGGTCTCTTCTGTTGTGGCATCCCAGTTGTGCCATCTGCAAAGCTGCTGGAATTCACATGGGTGTGCTGGAATCCACTTCTACATGTCTAGATGCTGCCATGGCTCAACGGTGCATCCCAAAGACAAATCTGGAAATGGTATTACCAAATGCAATCTTCCTGCAACAGTCGAAGCAATCTTGTGAAATGTGTTTCTGGAAGTAACTTGTGTCACAGTGGGCCTGGGTCCTTTTCAGACAAAGGGGGCTACGGGAAGATGTGCAGGAACCTGGACCTCAGGCTGCACTAGCTCTTTGCTGTTCGTGCTCGTGTGAGGATTGATCGACAAGTGTCCGTTTTGCTCTAAAAGTTTCGCTTCTCAAAGGTAAGAGACAAATGGAGAAGTTCCTTTGTGGCGTCAGGCTTTGGTCAGTTGTGTTGTTTCTTCCCTAGTGTCATAACCTGTTAGTGCAGCAAGAAGATGAATGATTCTAGCACGGGCCCAAGAGCAGTTCTTTTCCATAGTTCGGGACCGACCGATTTTTTGGGGGCCGCAGCTTCATGATCTTCCTTGCTGTCCTCTTCATCTTCCTTTTCTTCCAGAGGAACGAGACCTTCTTGTTTGGCTGAGAGGATTTCTTCAACTCTCACCGGGGTTTTCCTTCGAGCACTGCACTGTCAGGTGCAAGCGGAAGTGGCGCTGAAGGTCCGAGCTGATTGGTGCGAAACGATGGTTGGATGTGTTTGCTTCAATTTGTGCAACAAAGACGCTGCGCTTCCTTGCAATATGAGGTACTGGTATCAGTAGGTAACATATACAGTTTTCCGCGGTCAAGAGGTTAGAAGCATGGACATCAACTCTGGTCAAGGAGCAACTGGAGGGCTTCAATGTGGTCAAGCTGCAACTGGAGACCCTCATTGTCAAATTGCAGGAGCAGTTTGGTGAGGCGTGGATTGCATGCAAAGAAACAGCAAGAGCAGCAGTTAATAAGCTAGTGCCCGGTCACAAAGCAGTCAAGCAACTCCTAAACTGCTATACCTGTGACCAGGGAGGGACCCAGCCCAAAATCCAAGTTTTGACACACTTTAGGTCGGAACAAGAATGGAGAAGGAGGCTCGTGGGGAGCTTGGACGCTTATGAACTGGTGGTCAGCCTCGCGGATTGGAGCCCTCTTGTGGGATTGAATACCTTTCCGGTCCTTACAAGTGTGCATGCGCAACGATGTACGGATTTTGACACGGTTAACCCGTGTACGCCACATAGTCGCATCTAGCTAGCTCTTGATTTTCAACTTGTTGTTGTTGCATGGGTCTACAGGCTTTCAGCACTGAAACCCTTTAAGCACTGTTTGTGTTCATACTTGCGTTTGGGGAGCCACTCGCGCAGCTAAATAGCTGCTGGTCAAAGTACCCGATCGTTGCTTCACACTGAAACGTTGAGTTCACTGATTGCCAGTGGGGTCAACCACTCATATTTTCCTGAGCAAACAGCAGAACCGACTGTAGGTAGAAAGTATGGACAGGCATAGTGGATATGTGGGCACATGCTACTGGCATGAGCTCATGCATACGGAGTTTCACTAGCGCTAAGCGGCATGTGTCTGGCAGAAAAGGAATTTGTCTACTGGCAGTTTACTGGCCGTTACATGAATGGCATTCATTTTGTTTTGAGGATGCATTTGCCACTGGTACTCTTCGCTCACGTTGCTTTCCGTGCCATTCCAACGGCTCGTGGCTCAAGGGTCACGCGGATCTCGAGGCCGAAAGCGAGCCGCTCAAGACAGAGCTGAAGCATTCGCAGCTCAAGGCGTGCCGCATGGCTCGTCGCATGGCTCGTCGCACAGCATTCGGTGCGGCTCACGTTTAAAGGGGCAATTCCACAAAGGGGTCCATGAAGTGGGTGAAATTATGTGAAAACCTAAGTCAGACTCGTGAGAAGACCTGATTCCAGAAAGATTTCTGAACTCGTCACGGTTGCCCTGTTGTATACAATCCCAGGTGTAGATGGTGCTCATATTATCCTATGTTTATCCTTGTTCATCTATGTTTCCGATTATCTTTTGCCCGAAAGGAAGAGCGATTTAGATGGGATTTAGATCTTCTGAGTTCAGAGTACATTGCCTTGATCACGCTTCCTGGAGCGCTTGACAGCTCAGACCTCGGTCAGGTCGAAGAGCTGACAGCATCATACTCGGCGTCACAGGCACCAACTCAGCGGTGTGGGGAGTAGGCTGATGGAATACTCGGGGAGCCCACTGGTGTCAGTGAGTGCTCCACACAGTTCTTTTTTTGCAGAAACAAACGATTGGGAAGACCAAACCAAGAAAGTGTAGGAAAGTGTGAGATTTACTCATTGTTTCTTGCCTTTCCTTCCTGCATGCTAGAAAACCGCTTCCCCTTCCAGGCGGGCGCGGGTCCTGTTTCTTCCACCCAGTGTTGCTTCCCGCAATAGGCATGCTGAACTAGCGTTGCCGTCACGTCTGAGCGGAACTTTTTTCGATGTGTTCCATCTTTCAAAAAGCAGACTAGTAACAAGTGCCTCGCTAGTAGTAACAAGTGCCTTACTGGTAGTAACAAAAAGCTATTAGAATTAAATTAATAGCTTCTTGTTACTACTAGTAAGGCACCTGTTACTACTAGTGTGGCACTTGTTACTAGTAGCTATTTAAAAAGCAGACACTGGTTTCGGCGCTTTAGCTGGTGACCCCAAGGAGACACAAAAAGGTGCGACGGCATGCGTTGCCAGCATTGCCAGTCGCGTGGTGGAGTCATGCTAAGCTTGGACTCCCTTGCTTTCTTGGCTCCGCAGCGGACCTGAGGCAGAAAACCAAGAGCTCAAGAAGAAGCTGGAGCAAGCCAAGCAGGAGGCTGTCGTATGACTTCGATGCTGCGGTGCTCTTCCTCCTCCGAACTCACCGTGTGTGGGGAGTCTGCTTCGGTAAACGGTATTCTTCGCATCAGATAGGTATTATGAAGATGGGCTCACATGGCCCAGCGGTTGGGGCCATCTTGAAGTCGATAGCTGGACGAGTGGTTTTGCATTCTGTTGCTGCGCGAGAATGCCTTGTCAAGGCAGAAGAGCTGGCAACATCCTGTTCAGATTTGAAGGCGCCGTCGACCATGGGTGAAGACAATGTGTTGAGCGCTTTCAGCTTCTTGCCATTTGTTGCCAGCGAGCCTTTGTCTGCCCAAACTACATTGCAAATGAAGCAGAAGGGTATACGGCATATGAGTGTTTGGGTGTCGGGGATGGTGACTAGGCAGTACAGAGCCTTTACTTTACATTATTTATGCGCCGACAGACATCCTGACCTTGCAGCCTATGAAAATAGCTTCACCTTGGACAATATCAATGAAGCAAGCAAATCACACCTTTGATCTGCACCAACACATGTTTATTGGACTCCCAGCACCCGCTATCTTGAACAAGCGGACACTCTGTCGGGAAGGGAAGAGTGTGTCATGAATTCAGCCCTTCTCTGCGAAGACTGAGCTCGCAAGGATCGGCGTTTTCGGGTCAAGTGTCCACATGGACTGAGCCCACGAATTGGTGTTGATCCAATTGGCTGCGCTGCGTATATCCTAGTGTCACTTGATTTTGCACAGTATAACATATCTTTCTAGGGCTCATGTTTTGGTTTTGGCTCACTGGGCGGTTTTCGCCTACCCCCAGAGCGAAAACGCGCGGGAAGGCTTTGGTCAACCTCGACAGGCACAGCGGAGCATTTGGGAGCTTTGTGTGTGTGTGGTGGTCGCGTCAAAGTGCCCAAATACCGCATGAGTTCATGTCTGGAATCGCTACCTGGAGGTGTTTCGCATGGATTGAAACACGTCTCTTCAGCGAAGCTGTGGAATCCTTGGAAGCTGAAAGAGTGGAATCCAAAGCATTCACAAACCAGTTTGCTACTAGGAACAAGTGCCACGCTAGTAGTAACAAGTGCCTTACTAGTAGTAACAAGAAGCTATTAGGAACAAGTGCATCGCTCACTAAGACGCGAACGTCAGTGCTTGGAGAATCGGGTCACGGCGACGCCGAGATCACCAGCTGTGGCAGGCATGGTACATCAGCCAGTTGCTGGGCGTCGTCGGTTGTTGCACATCTTCCGTTGATGTGAAAGCATGAGACATGTGGCAATATGCAGCACACATCGTTATACTTAGGCTGCAAGTTCTCGAAACGGAGCCATCACCCGACGTTCATCTTCTTTCTTCTAGCATGAGAATTCCCTGAGATTGGTCCTATCTTCTCTTGAAGTTGTGCATCCTTGAAACCGGAGAGGTTTTGCCGGGTACATCATTGCAGGATGGAGCAGGTGACCATACCCATGCTGATCTCCATGTTTTGGGGACTAGTTCTGCTGGACCAATGAGGTCGATGGATTGGCGAGTACGAAGTGGAACTGGACCAACGCAATGGCAAAAGGCAGCATGAATGAAGGGCAAAGACACAGGTAGTAGTAACAAGTGCCTCGCTAGTAGTAACAGGTGCCTTACTAGTAGTAACAAAGAAGCGTTTTGGAATGTTCAGATCAATCACGTTTCCAGATGTGACCACTGGAAATGGGAAAACAGGGAACCAGCTAGTGAGCGTCGGTCTCGTACCACTTTGGTCTTGGATAGGCCAGGTCCATCCACAACACCTCTTTAGCAAGTGGATGCGGGGATGAAAGACACCACGAGAGGCTAGAAACGTCACGAACCTGAGAGTAGACCCTGAGTAGCTCCACTGACCAGTGATCAACGCATTCCCTCATGGTCCGGTGGTGCAGGATGACGATGTTATAGCCATGGCCGAGTGCCCAACTATATCCATCCTAGTAAGTTCTGAGAAATGGTTGAGATCACCTAGCCAACCGAAAAAGATCGAAAAAGCATGTGCTTATCAAAGGCTTGAATTCTTGAACGGTCCATTTCCACATTCGGTGCCTTTGGAGGTTGGGTATGGAATTAGAGGCCGGCGGGCACATGGTGATCGTCACCCGCGACTCGGCCGTGAGTCGCGGGACATGGGAGGTCGGACGCACCACTTCCAAAGAACAGGACGGGTTGGTGGTTGGAAATGAAAAAAGGGAAAGGCTTCCTCCAACACTTAGACCCTTTGTGTTTGGAGGGATGCATTTGAAGACCCAAGAAAGCAATAGGCATCCAACGATCAAAGGGCAGGCAGTTTAACCGACAACAAGATTTCACCAGCTGGTCTTCTCATGTACAGTAAATCCTCAGTAGAGCCTTTTGTATCAATCCAAAATGAGGAAGGGCACCTGGAACTTTTGGCACTGCGAACGTCTGCGAACCCATCGGAGCCGAAGTTCCTTCCTTGGCGAAGCCCCTTTTCACCCGCCTGCCCTTCCCAACCGCGAATGCCTCGTGTCGAGCCACCGAGTCCTCGGCTCGGTGCTGGCGCGGCGCGAAATCACCGAGGAGTGGACAGCGACAGCTTGGTTGAGGAGCCACGCCGGGTGGTGGGCGCGCGGTTGGTGGGCGCGCGGGGTGTTCTTTCGTTGTTGCCGATGTCACAGAGAGAATTGTAGGGTTCTAGGGTTTCGGGGTTGGATGTTTGTCAGCCAAAAAGATCTCGGTGGGTAAAGACCTACCACAATTCTGCAAAGGTTGGCTATCCTAAGTATCATCCAATGGATTCATGGCTTCTGAAGGGAGATGTGTCCAACACATAGTCCAACATATCCACTGGATTTTGTGAGATGTCTTCGCAAGTGTTCATCCGTATATTCGCCCCGTGGAGTGAAATCGATTCCCCAAGCCATGTCCCACTTGAGCTAGCAACCAGACCTGTTTGGAGAGTCCCACTGCCACAGCGAGTCGCACAGAGGAGTGGAACAAATCTGCGGAGGAGTCACAGATGGTCAGGACAAACTACTTGATTGTTGAGGCCTCGTCGGGTGCCGTTGTCGTGATTCGATGTGTGGCCTGTGTATTTCGGACACCCTTTCTCGATCGCCGGGTGCTGGGATGTTCCAGCGAAACCGGTTTCGCCGGCGGTTCGGTCTCCTGATGTTTAATACCCAATATGATGCTGAGATGACGAGGAATGTTGGGAAGTTGGTACTTGAGGAGTTTGGCCTATCTGCGAAATGTTCGAGTGCAAAGTCAAGCTGCTTTCCAATGCACTTGTTTTGGTCGCTCCATACTGGACGTTGAAGGTATCAGAGCAAGTGCAAGGTTCACGGATTCCTGAGTGGTGTTTGAACCATCACATCAAGCTTCAGACAGGCCACGGTATGGCATATCATTGATGTCCGTACCTTTGATTGGCCCTTTCGGGACAAGAAGCTCCATTGATTTTTCACCCGTGTCTGTCGTTTTTGTCAAACCTTCTTGGAGCCAGAACTTACTGCTTCGTCGGCTTGATCGACTCGACTCGAAGACATGTCGTCCAAGTCGGATCACCTGAGGGTTCAGACGACGTGAAGGTTTCGACGTCCTCGGTGGCCATTCGACTCGACCCAGCAGAAGCCTCCAGGTCAATGGGATCCGAGGGGAGGCCTCTGAGATGATGGTGGAGTGCGAGAAGGATCAGGCGAAGCTCTGTGTGTTCCATGTGTGGTGTCCTGATTTGAGGTAGACAAGTGGACCCGATAGTGTGTGAATCATTGATTGTCAGTTACTGCATTATTTCTTGGGGGGGGTAACAGATCTATGTGTACCAATGTTTATTTGGGAGCATTCGGGCGCCAAAAGCGGGGTCCGATTGATGGTCGTGACGGATGGTCCTCAGTTGCCTTTCGTGCGTTTGATATTTGTTCAACATTGAGAACTAGGCAGGTTATATGTATTTGCACACAGTTTTGCGCTATAATACAAAGATAATGTTGTTTGGTAACATGCATAATACGTGTTTTTATTTCTGAATACGAATTCGATATGCCTATGCTGAAGTTTCTGCATAGCTTTGCAGAACTATGAAGGATTTATTGAGAAGCAATGAAGTTTGTGTTTGAATCCGTTTTTGGAGAAGGCCTCGCCACCCCCAAGCCGCAATCTGAAATAGGGCTTGTGAGCATGAGCATTGCAGAGTGCACGCAATTAATTGAGGTGGCCATGTATGGACAAAAAGACGGTGATCGGAGGCCATCGCTAGCAGGTTGGAGGCCGCTTCTAGGTTGGAGGCCATCGCTAGATATCGCTAGTAGGTTATCAGTCACAGTGACTCGTCATGGGGTTCCATATAGTTTCATGCGACTGAAGCTCCTGTTTTACATCGAAGATCGCCGGTCTCAGCCAGGTCTTGCGATTGAAGCTCCTGAAGGTCCCAGTCTTGGGAGAATTGTAATTGACATGGGCAAAGTGCACAGAGGGACATGTAAGATGTGCGGTGTTTTGGCAGTCTACCGGCCGCAGAAAGCCTTCAGTTACCATTCAACTTTTGCCACCATGTCAAATAAATAGGTGTAATTCAACACAGTCCCTGGCATTCCCTTTGCTTGCGGTTGGACCACTCGTTTTGAAACGCTGAAATAAGCCATGAGACCGACCCCAAGCCCCTTGTCCCGAGGTTGATGGCGCAGCTTGGCGCAGTTTGCGCTGCGTGGGGCGTTCACTCGACTGTTGTGATGACATGCGGCACACTGTGTGCAGGTCGTATCTCCAAGCGCATAAAGCTGCTGGCTTCCTTCTTTAGTGGCCCGTCCATGTTTGTACTCAGAAGCCCGGGAGGATACTTCAGGTCCAACAAACCTGTGAACAAAAACATACATGAAGAAGCTATGAATTCCAGGTTGCCACGGTGTGTTGTTTGGGCTCAAGCACACCCTAAGATGGAACACCATTGCTTTCAACCCCAACGTACAAACAACAAAAGAGCCCAACCAGCCACTCTTGGTGACTCTTGGTATCACAGAAACCGTTTGACACGTAGCAGTTTCTTCTCGGTCCGCTCCAAGGACCCTTGGAGGAACCGAGACTACGCCCTGGCACGTGTGAGCTCCGACGGCGACTATCTCCACCGCGCACCCGACGATCTGTTGAGGGACCGGGAGCTGGTGCTGCGGGCCATTTGCTCGTCCGAGGGAGACCTGAGATCTGCGAAGTCGTTTTTCTGCGAAGTTGGTTTGTGTTTCCAGTGGTTTCAGAAGTTCAATGGCACTGGCACCCCGTTCGATGTCTTCGACAGATGGGGGTCAACATAAACCACCAAAAAAAAGGAATGGCCCTTGTGCCAGCATGACCCGGTCCTCTCACTCCGTCCACTCAGTCGTCGCCTCGCCGCTGAAGGTCCCTTCGATGCCCTGGAGCACTGCTCGCCGCAGCTTTTGCACGACCCCTCCTTTGTGGAAGAGGCTGTGCGGCGTTCGCAGGCGCCATGGCTCTTGAGGCCAGGGTCCTGTGAAGTTAGGGGTTTCAGTCCTGAGGAAGCTTCTGTTCAGTCCTCGTGCACCATTTACGTCTATCAGTGATGGTAAAGCTACTGTACTTCTTATTCTGGGTGTTTGGCGCCTTCGTTCCTTGTTTGTGTGAGAGTGAAAAGAGTTCACACTGACCTTGCACCAATCGCAACGAGTGTGGGTCAAAACCTCCTCCACCAAACCATGGAAGGTTGATATCCCTAACATTCGTTCATGTTCAGTGGTGAACCGCTTGTTTTGACTCACGGCCCTCCTTCCCTGAGAGGCTTCCCCAATTGAAGCACTTCAGTGAGGACAAGGACTTGCGCCAACGCTGCGAAGCAGTGGCCGGCACCGGGTTGGTCTTCACCTGGTATCGCAGTGCCACCTGCTTCCTGAAGATGAGAGAATGCTTCTGGGCGACTGGAGCCTCCGTCCCGGGGGGCGAAGCATACAAGGAGGTCATGAAGTATTTGGAGGAGCGACCTGGAGGTGTGCAGAGACGAGAGTCGGATGAGAACGAGAAGTCTTGGATGCAGAAACCGAGTTTTTTTGGACGAAGATGTGGAGAGAACGGGAAGTCTTGAGAACGAGGGAAAACGCTGCTCTCAAATCATGCTTTCGAAATGTCCTTTCAGGTTGTGTTAGCTCAGTTGCAGCAGGCTTAACAGTCATTAAACAATACCGGGGGTGAAGCCTTGCCCGGGTAATGTGGTTGAGAATGCTTTCAACGTAGGTGTCCATATTTCTTTGATGGCAGATACAGAGGAACTCTTAAACACGGAGAAAGCGTAGAGTTGCCTTTACTCATCAGCTTTACAAAAGAAACAGAGCTGCCAAGCCATTTAGAAGTTCAAGATGCATTGAAACGTATTGAAACTGTGAACCCGGTCATGTGTGCGAACAATTTATTGAGTGGTACTGTGTGATGCAGCATGCGGCCTTGTGGAGACCACTGATGTGCGAGATGTCGTTTGCTGCATGGACATATGCTGGGTGATGTTTGCTGAGGATATGTTCAATGGCCTTGTCTTTGTGCGGCATGTTTTGTGTGTGTGTGTTTCATTTTGTTTCGTTGTTCATGATCCAGGATGTGGGATTGTTGGTAGTATTTGTTAGCCCTTTGGCAAAGACAGTACGTATGCCACAGCAGATAGCTCAACAACCGCCCTCCACACACTGAAAGCCAAGTAAGAACATATAAGAACAGAATAGAACAAGAACCATACAACGACATATCAGCAGCTATGCCTGTGCTAACTGCATGGATTTGCTTGTGAGTTTTGCTCCACAACAAAACACTGGAAGATCCAGCTTCCAGGAAGAAAGGCTATACGATGAATAGGTTGCAACCTGCTTGCAGGAGGTGGAATCCCCGCATGCAGACAAAGTTCCACATGTGCGTATGTTTTCGAACATGTACATGCAGTGTATTCTGTTTAAATGTTTGCAAGTAGATTGCAGGTGCCTGTTAGCATACGTATATGTATATACAGCTGTGAATCTATTTGTATTCAACAGAACCCCCCAAAAAAAGCAGCAGTCGGCTGGTTTTGGGACTCTCCCATTTGCTCACACGGTCTTTCTTCCTTCCAAAAGGAAACTCCCTCACATCAGGTCACACCCGCCGGGTCTCCCCTTCCAGGTGCGGTGAATCTGTGGATCGAGGACACACCGGTCTTCGGTGCCTCTGCAGATGGCGGCAAGTGGCAGCACCCGCCACGCCCCTGTGGCCGTGACATGAAGCCGGTGCCCGCCGGGCGCAGCGGCATGTGGAACTGCAACGTCGAAAGCCGGACGGGAGATCATCGACCTCAAGTGGGGTCAAGGCATCCGTGTGACTTGGGCTGGAGCTCACTTTGAGAAGAAAAAGGAAGGAAGGAAAATAGACATGTGACGTCAATTTTCTAGCTGGAGCTCAGTTTGTTCTGGAAGGTTTCGTTCCACTCAGACACTCCAGTTTGCGTGGTTTTTTTCCACTGGGAGGTGGGTGGGTTTTTGGGCCCTCGTTGCTAGGTCTATTCACGGGGGAAGGCGGTGGTTGGTGGGCGGAATTGGTGGTTGGTGGGGCTTTTCCCTGGGTGATGGGAGGGACGAACATGGGGGCCGGTCCTCCCAGGTTGGTGCTGCCGCTGGCTTGAAAGAGTCCAGCAGATGCACAAGGAAGGTTACGTGATTTGCTGTGTGACATCCAACATTTATGACCCAGATGCTTGGCGGAACGGTGACCTGTGTAAAAAAAATTGAGCCTCTACCGGCTAGTGCTGCTCTTTCCCCCATCGCTGATGGCTGGAAAGTCGATGGCTGGGGACGGTTTGCACGCCAATGCCTGAGGAATGGGTGGAAAAGTATGGGGCTGGCTCCTCGGAGCTGAGTGATGATCAGGCGCAGAGATTTGGTCAACCCCGGAAGCTTGGCCAATAGTCGTTTTTTTGGAAGAAACCATTTTGTGAAGGTACGGTCGCTGATATTTTTTGTGATCTGGGCATTTCTTGTTGTTTGGTGGTTGTCCAGAAGGATTCTGTGCCTTTGGTCTTTGGGTTCAGAAAACGTTCGTTGATACGAAGCTGGCGAATCCAAACCGCCGAGCCAAGGGAACGCTTTCGCAATGGAAGGCCTGGAAAGTGGGGAACCGGTGCCATCAAGCTCCTCAGATCTCGAACCTTATTCCTCCCTGCAGAGAGGCAGTGTACAGGGATAGTCACAACCTCATCTTTGGACATAGGTCAGCTACTGTACTCTGCAGGTAGTGCAACCTTTTGGTTTTTCTGGTTTGGCGTTTGGGTTCATGTTCAGTAGTGACCAATTCCTTTTTGCTTTTGCGTTCCGAGTAAGGATCACCAGCATGTTTGGCGGCAAGTTCAATCGTGAGGCTCCAGTGGACCAGCGTACACGCCTACCTTTGGGGCAAGGGTGCCGTTGGGAGCGACAAGCGCTCGATAGTCTGGAGTTCCCGGTCTTTGTATTCTTCATGCCATGAGCAGTGATTGTGAACAAATGACATTGTTATGGATGCATGAGGTTTTGTGCTGAATTTATAGATCGATTTGACAATCGAAATATTGGTTTATCAAATCATTCCCTCATGAAATCCATGATATACCATATGTATTTATATTTCAAAATTTAAAATTTTGGCCATAGATAGTATTCACGAAAGCTAGCGAAGCTAGCTGGAGTTACTCTTGCGATAGCAAGGTTTCTTTCGATCGGGTGCAAATCCTAACCCCTGATTTTTCAGGTCGAAGCTCCCCCCCCCACCCTCACTGTCTCTCTCTCTCTCTCATCTCTCTCTCATCTCTCTTTTCGCTCTCTCTCTCTCTCTCTCCTCTCTGTTTCTCGTCTTTCCGTCTCTCTTCTCTCTCTTCTCTCGCAGGAGGATCCGGGCGAAGAGCCACATATAAAGGACTCTTCACCTGGGAGTGTAGCTCCATTGGTCGGTCGGAGCCGCATCACCTCCAACTTGAGATCCTTGAAGTGGAAGACGACGGACAGCAGATCGCACCTAAGACGACCGTTGGTCCGGGTTGAGGTGCACACGAGGTGGCTGAAATTGTCTTCCTCCCACCTTCCCTCCCTCCTCCCTCTTCGCAAGTTCGACTCCGTCCTGTCGTCGCTCTTTGGCATGCGGTTAGCGTTGCGTATCTTGCGGCCGCACTCGCTCACTCTCAGTCTCACTCTCACTCTCACTCTCATTCTGACTCTCACTCTCACTCTTACTCTCACTCTCACTGTCTCTCTCTCTCTCTCTCATCTCTCTCTTTCATCTCTCTCTCTCATCTCTCTCTCTCTCTCATCTCTCTCTCTCTCTCATCTCTCTCTCTCATCTCTCTCTCTCATCTCTCTCATCTCTCCCTCATCTCTTTCTCATCTCTCTCCTCTCTCTCTCTCTCTCCTTTGTCTCTCGTCTTTCCGTCTCTTTTCTCTCTCTTCTCTCGTAGGAGGATCCGGGCAAAGAGCCACATATAAAGGACTCTTCACCTGGAATCGTTTGCCCCGCCCAACTTGTGCAAGGCGTCCTGCTTTCTGCTACTCCGTGCGACTGCCTCCAAAAAGAGCGCCGTGTTTTTTCTTACCTCGCTGGCCTCTACTTTCCCATTCTGGAGCGCTAGCTTTCGCCCCCCCCTTGGCCTCAAGTTTGATTGATCGAAATATATATTTGATGTTTAATTTATATATAAATAATAGATTTATCTATGTTGATAGTTTAAATATATATATATATAATATTAAAATTAAATATAAATCTAAAAAAATCTATGTATATATATATTTAATATGGTAATAGATTAAGTAATATTATATTAATTGTAAATTAATAATGAAATTTTAATATATTAAGTAATATTTTAAGTTCCGAAAGCTAGTTTTTAAGGGAATATATATCGGTTGATAGTTTTTTTAATTTATTTTTCGAATTAATTTTTTATATAGAGTTTTTTTCTTCCGCTTTTTGGGGAATTGATTTTTTAATATTGATATTTTGTTTGTTTTTTGGAATATTTAAAGTATATATTAAATTTTAAATATAAAAGGTATTTTTTGAAGGAATGTATGTTTAGAATTTGTTTTATGAGGTATTATATTTTTTGGGGAGGAGATTTCGTGAATTTTTTATGAATTTAGGATAATTTAAATATATAATATTCCGATTTAATATTTATTGATGATTTAAATTATGGGGCAAATATATTTTATTAAGAAATTATTTAAATATTTCGAAAATATATGTGTAAATATTTAAAATATATATGTAGTTATTTTAAAAAAGGTCGTTTCCGAAAGAATAAATAATTAAAATTTGTTTTGTGAAATAAGTATGGATATTATTGATATGAAGAAGAATAAGTAATTTTTAGAGGTTTTATATATTATTATATTAAATATTGTATTTTTCTTTTGTGTTTCGCGTTTTATTGTATTTTTATTGTGGGAGATTTTATATATATTAAATATATATTACTTATGTTTTTTATATATCGGTATTGAATTTATACATATTTAAAAGTTTTATAGAAAATATATTATAGTATATATTGTTTAAAGTATTCTTTTTATATATATTTTTAATTTTATTATATATAATTTATAGAAATATACGAATAATTATAGAATTAAAAATATTAATAAATATTTTATAAAATATTAGATATTAATATGAAAATATGGAATGAATAATTTTTATTGGAAATATCGAAATGAAATGTAAAAAAATGAATTTGTTTTTTTTAGTATAAATATATTTTTCGTGAGGTTTTAAGGATTTTTTTTTATGGGTATAGGTAAGAGCGAAAACAAATTGGTTTATTATGATTCTACGGCGTGAAATTTGTGTCGGTAATGATTTCTACTTAGCGGAAGGATTTACCCGTTTTCGTCGTGATGATAAAACGGGAAATCTAATTCTTGGAGAGTTTATTACGAATCGTAGCTAAGCGGTTGTGGTTATTAATCCGATTGTCCCGAATCTTCTTGTATTTAGTGTTGATCTCGCGCATTTCCTTTATGTATTGTCGGATGGGGATGAAATAGATGTTTTATTTCTTCTTCTTGGGCCGTATATTGAGCTTGAAGATAAAATAGCTCGGTTTCTTCATCCCTCATAAATCCTTGAAACCGCAAGTTCTCCGTGTAAAGGATGTTAAAGGCGTTGTCCGGCTCCTTTCAGTCTGTGTCTCGGCTGAAATAAAGCTCGTTGATATCATAATCCATGTCGATCGTGTAATTGAAGATTTCCAGGATGAAATTTTGTTGTTATTCCAAAAAAGGCGCCATAGTAACATACCAATTATAATGATATACAATATTACAATTATTTCGGTCGGTAATACAGTGGCCATGACTTCTTCCACGTTCATGGCCTTGACTCCGAAGGCCAAGTGGTTGGGATTGCCTGTCCGAATGATGGTATGGCGTTTTGCGCTTTCATCCGTTTCGATGATTGCTGCTGTGGTTAGGAATTGCCTCGTGAATGACGTATTGTGTAAGGTTCCGTCTCTGGCCAAGGGATCCTGAATATCTATTGGATTGTCTGTTTGTGCACCTGCCTTCTTAGCTGCCGGGGTTGTTTGTGGCTGCTGCATACTTGCTTCTGCTGGTGACAGTTGTGATAGGGCCATAATTCTCCTGGTTCGTCACTTGTCCCGTTGCCTCGGTGAGGAGTTCATGACGCTGTCTTAGAACGGGATCCAACGACTCCTCATCTCTAGCATCTTCCTCCTGACATGCTCGTTCTCCAGGGTGCAGCTCCCCACCAATGTGCCTCAGGGCAGTTACATGGGCGATTGAGCACCAATCCAGAGCACAACAACCATAAACCACCAAGTAGGCCATGCCGGGCAGCTAAGGACCATCAAAAAACTTGGCAAAGCACCTTGCAGAAACAGAAAAGTTGGAATTCTTGTGATGGTTGATGGGCCACCAGATACATGATGGCACGGTACATTTCCGTATGAAAGTGTTTAGAACCTGTAGAAACCATTTGCGAGGAGTTGAGTCAAGCTCGGTCCGGCTCAAAGCACCTGGCTGTCTCCCAAGCACACCAAAGTTCGCACCATGAGAAAGTAGCTCCACAGGGATTGCCTTCTGAAGTCTGAAGGATCAGCAGCGTCGGTTAAAGGGTCCTCATTTGATGCCAAGCTGTTCTTTGGACAACATTGCCAAGCAACCATGTAGGGATTGCACCTCCGTAACGCCTTCGCCCAGCGGAGGAGTTTTTGGCACGACCCTGTCCCACATCAATTCGCGTTCCCATTTCCCAGGAGGGCCGCTCCGGAGAACGTTGCACTTCTCGCTCGCTTGAGGTGAAGTTTTCAAGGGCCAAGAACGAGATAGGCCCCCTCCTCTCCAAATATGGGACATGTGATTTGCAACAGAAATGATCTGAACGAAATACTCGGATTCATTTTTTGTCCTCCTGATGCGTGACATTCCAATAGCAACCCAAATGTATCCTCTGCCTGTGAGTGTCTCCTTGCCCTTCAAATTCGATGAACACCTGTATATTCTTTCTCAGCAGCCGGCGCCTTTGCTCAACCAGACTGGTCCTTGTCTGAGATTGTCGTGGACTGACACTCAGCTCAATGCCATTCTCTTCTGCCCAGCTCATTGAATTGTCTGCTCCGAATGCTGGGTGCTCATCAAAACCACCGTGCTCATCAAAACCACCTGCTTGGTGGACCGTATAGGTTGGCTGCCTTTCTTTGCATGCACTTGAAGGTCTGCTCATTGCCAAGATAGATGTTCCCTTTCGACTGTTGCTGGTGTCACTAACACACACTGTTCTGCCTGTTTTCCTCGATCGTTCATTTCTTGTAAACGCTCACCGTGTTGAAACACCAAGAGATGGAACTTCTGACATGAGCGGAATTTTCTGTAATGAAGGAAACTCACTCATGTGCGATCTATTTGTCCACTATCTTGGATTAATAGATCGGGAATGATATATCTTGCCATGTTTACTATTTTTACACACACTGTCTCGTGCCAATTGAGAACCGATTGGCATTCATTCATGGGAAGAAGACAAAATTGACATCCATCTTCGAGAATGGGACATGGGAAATTGAAAAGCATCCCGAGAACATTGACCACAATCGTGTTATGAATGCAAAATTTCTTTTGAAGTGGCTGATAGACAATTTTGCAAGGTTTTTTTAACCCAGATTTGCTACAAGCGTTCAAAATTCATAGTGTATTACGTGCCTGATTCCAAGAGACGAATAGGAAGTTTTCCTAACCAATCTTGCGCGGACGTGTAGCTGCTCACCTGTATATGGCATTTGCTGACTTCTGACAATGTCTTGCCAAATCTGCCAACAACGTGGGACTGTTCCATTTATATAAATCGTCGTCTACCCATCAATCATCGTGAAACCCTGTGTTTCTTGCAAATCAGACATCTTGATTCCTTGCGGCAAACTTGCTTCTGGTAGGAAAGAGGTGTACTCTGGTAACCAGCCAGGATGTCTCATCAAAAAA